TGGGGGGGGGGGGGGCCAGTTAGATCCCAGCTTCCCCTTTCCCCGAGCCCTCCTTCACGTGGGACCTTTTGCAGTGGAGGGACACAGCGTGCTCAAGCATGGCTTGTGTCATTCAGAAGCACTGTGCCGTCCAGGGTGACCGTGGACACTTGGAAATGGCCTGTGTGTCCAGTCTTCAAGTACTGGATAAATGCTCTGTGGCACGGCCGTGTTTGGGCCTTGACCTGGAGTCACTGGGGTTCCGGAACGGGCCCACGAATCCCCAGAAACTATTTGTAAAATTCTACCAACATGTGAATTTTCTGGGGGAGTCTGTGACTAATAGGATGGAATCATACACGACATGTAAAACTATTTTGTAGAAGAACTTTTGTTTTGTTTTTAGAGATAGGGTCTTGCTCTGCTGCCCAGGCGGGAGTGCAGTGGCGCAGTAAAGGCTCACTGCAGCCTTGAGCTCCTAAGCTCAAGTGACCCTCCAGAGTAGCTGGTACTACAGGCACATGCCACCACACACCCAGCTAATTCTTTTGATTTTTGGTAGAGATGGGGTCTTGCTGTGTTGCCCAGGCTGGTCTTGAACTCCTGGACTCACGCGATCCTCCCACTTCTGCCTCCCAAAGCACTGGGATTAACAGATGTGAGCCACCATAGCCCTTTTCTCTGCCTGCAGAGACTGAATATTGTAGAATGAAAAAAGCAGGATACAAAATACTTTATGTACGATGAGCCCAGTTTGCCCCAAAACCATTTGTGCTACATACACACACCGGAATTATACTACTAAAAGGAGACAGCTTTTATCTCTGGGAGGAAATAAACATTTGGGGTTGATTTCAGTTCTTCTGTGTATGTTGCTTGTTCCACACACACATCTGTTCCCTCTATAACCAGAAGCAGAGGTGCTTGGTCAGACCGTTTTCTGAGAAGCCAGACAGAACTCTCCTTCTTGCCGGCAGCCCCCATGGCGCTTGCTGTGCCCCCCTCCCCATCCCAGAGGGAGTTCTGCAGATCTGGAGATAGCCTTTCCTTGCTCCAGGACCAGCCTGGCAGTCCTCACAGGTCCCTGAGCCATGGGCTACCCAGATGTAAGCCCCATGGACATCTGGAGCTGGTCGTCCGGGGCCACTGAGTCACTAGCTAACTCCCTGGCCCCCTGACTTCAACCAGAGCCCGTCTGGCTGGTTTCGGGCCTGCGTCGCAGAGGTGAGGGTCTGCCTGGCAATCCCCCTCCTTCCGGCTGCAGCCCAGGGAGAATGGCCAGACAGCTCCTAGGCCGCATTTCCCAGCGGTGTGGCTGTAGGCCAGTCTTCTAACCTCTCTGGTTCTCGACATTCCGTGACGCAGGGACATTGTTAGTGCCAGCCTCGTGGGGCACTGTGCGAGCAGACCCGTCCCCCGACTCACCTGTCTGCCTTGTGTTTTCTCCCAGGGAGCTCCGGGACCGGCAGGATGGGGTCAGCTTGTGTCAAAGTCACCAAATACTTCCTCTTCCTCTTCAACTTGATCTTCTTTGTAAGTATGGCCAGGCTGCCCTGATGGCCTTGGACAGCCTCTCCTCCCAGCCTGAGCCCCACCAGCGCCAGCCGGCAGGGCGAGGGATGGTGAGGGCTGAGGACAGGCTGACCCCAAGGGAGTCAGGTGGGGACGGCCAGGAGGTGCCTGATGTTCCCAGCTGAATCCTTGCAAAGCACTGTGTTCCTCTCCCATCGCCAACTGCCCACGAAGCCCTCCCCTGTCGTGGGGATACCGCCCTGTGCTCTTGTGGGAAGAGCAAGAGGAAGCCACACTGTGGGCTGGAGGGGCCACATTTGCCCTCCCCTGGGCCCACCCCGGCAGGCCTCACAGGTTGCTGGGCCACGGGCTGCCCAGATGTAGGCCAGGTGGACATCGGGAACTGGTTGTCCTGGGGCCTCCATTTTCCTCTCTGGCTGGCACCGTCAGACTCCTGCCTTGGCACTGTCAGAATGGCAGTGTCAGTGTGTGTGAGCAAGTGTGTATGAGCGTGTGTGAGCGTGTGAGCATGTGGGTGAATGTGAGTGTGAGTGTGAGCCTGTATGTGTGCATGTGAGCACGTGTGGTGAGGGTGCCAGTGGCCTGGGGTCCTCATGGCCCCAGCATGGTGTCGGGCCATGGTTCTTCATGGGATTGGTTAACCTTTAAACCCTTACAAAATCAGGTTCTGCAATAGGATGTTTACGATGGTCCAGTTTTAATTTTTTTTTTTTTTAGATGAGAAAACATAGTTTAGGGCAATCCCCTCAGGTCCCCGCCCACTGTGGGAGTTTTTCTGTCCTCTCAATAAGTCCTGCTTTCTAAAAAAGGAAGATGTCGTTTATTTGGAAAGTAAACTAGGGAGAGAGAGAGAGAGAGAGAGAGAGGAGATTCAGCTCCCCAGGCAGGGGAGGGGGCCAAAGCCAGGAAGCGTGGCGACAGCTGTAGCTCAAAGAGCACAGGGCCACGCCGGAGTCTAGCAAGGCAGTGGTGACCGTGGCCTGGCAGTGGCCCAGGTCTAATTTTTTAAAAGTATATACTCATCAAAATCATTAACATTTTTAAAAGGAGAAGAAAATATCTCTGAATGTTCGTGTTGGAATTCCTAGGGATTTCTATTTTTTTTTTTTTCTTTATGCTTCTCTCTATTTTCTGGATTGTCTACAGTCAATACAAATGACTTGTTGGGGAAGAGAGTTTTGCTTACACGTGATGGAGGATTATAGGAAACATGGGGAATAAAGAAAAGAATCGTTCTAAGTTCCTCTCATAACTTTAGCCCACCATGCAGACATGTGCACGTGTGTTCCTGGCATACACATGTGCACACACACGCACATGGGTTGCCCGGGTGCCTCCTGCTGCTTGTCCCTGGGCTCTCTTCCCAGCTCCCTCCTTGAGGACCTCGCTGAGGCCCCACGAGGGCTCTGGCCTCCACTTGTGGCTTCCCCCTGCCGGACAGCTCCCTCCCGGCTGGCCCAGGCCTTCGGGCAGCCAGCTGCTGCCGGCACAGGCCACGCCAAGCCGTTCCTGGCAGGTGCTTGGTGTCTGGGCTGAAACCCAGGAGGAAGGGCCCACGGACCCGACTGGGGGCGCACAGACGCGCTATCCCTAGGGGCTCCAGGGACGAGGGAGAGGGGCCTGGGAAGTGGGTGGGGACTCAGGGTTGAAAATGTGCCTCCACACAGTAGCAGGGGTGGGGAGATGGCGGGCCTGAAACCTGTAGAGGGAGGGAGTAGGGTGAGTGGTTTGGGCCAGGGTGTCCCCTCCTGTTCTGCTCCCAGGCGGCCCCACGGAACCACGGTCTGGAAAGGCTTCTCTCTGGCCCATGCTGGGACTGGTCTTGGCATCCAGGGCCTGGCCCCCTTCCCACTCCTCCCGAGCTGGCCGGAGTTGGGAGTTAACTCTCTGTGTGCTGAGGCCCGGTGACCCACGGCGCGGGGCGAGGAGGAGCTTTTATTGCAGGAGGGTGAGCGAAGGAGGAGGGCTGGTGCATGCCTGCTCTATGCTTGCCGCCCGCCACCGCGTGCACCCACACCCCTGTGTGTGGCTGTTCTCTGTAGCTGCCCTTAGAGCTGGCGTCCTCGGGGGTGGGGTGTCCATCAAATGAGTCCCCTAAAGGACTCTAAAGTCGCAGGGGGGGTCTAGGGACAAAGAATCGGCCACAGGAACCCCATGGAAGGCCCTGGCTTGGTGGGGAAACAGCACAGGCTTCTGGGATCCTGAGTACAGCTGGGCAGAGGGGTCCAGGCAGCAGGGGTGAAAGTCTGCATGGGGCCTGGGGCCGAGTGTGTCTCTCCGGACATAGACTGCCAGCTGCCCGGGTGGATTCTGTGCACCTTGATGGGGTTCCGTGATGGGATCTGTGGTTTGAAAAAGCCACATGGCTGTGCATGCTCGTACCTGCATACGTGTGCGTCCTGCCCGCCTTCCCCCTTGAACCCAGACTCCCCAGCAGGTCACCATGTTCTCAGGTCCAAGGAAATGCAGGGGTGGCCTTGCTGGGGGAAGGTCCTGGCTGGCGCAGCTCCATCTGAGGGTGGGGGGTGGTTAATGTGGGGTTGCTCTCTGGCCCCAGCCTTGGCTCAGGGGGTGCCGGGGGCCGTGCCCACTCTGGCAGGCTGTCTGGCTGGCCCTCCTTCCTGGAGGTCCCATGGCCTGATGGTCAGCTGCAGTCATCAGACCCACAGAGGGGCTGAATGGGCCGTGTCAAGGCTTCACGCTCTGGGCCACTTGTGGCAAGCTGAGGAACCCCTGGGCATTCTGGATTTTGTTCCGATTGGGAACGCATGTGCCCAGAGGGAATTCTCTGCTGTCCCTATTCCCTTTTGGGGGGCTGTCCTCCCCCCCACTGCCCCATGGCTGCAGAAGAGGAGTGAGCCAGGGCCTCTGCCACGTGGGTCTGAGTGCAGAGGGCAGACTGTGACCTGAGGGCTGGCCCCAGCTGGCTGTGCTGAGGCGGCGTGGAGTAGGCTGTGGTGGGGACATCTTTAGGACCCAAACTCCCAGGTCCTAGAAAGTTCCTCTTCCTCCCAGCTGTGCAGACCTCAAGCGGGCCCTTCCTCTCCCCAGGGTCTCAAGCGCCTTCCTGTCCCCAGAGACTAGGGCGCAGGGCGAATCCCAAATATCCCTACAGCTCACATGCCTCCATCTGGCTTCCAGTCCCTGATGGATGAAATTAAGGCCTCAGTTTCCCCAAGCGTGAAATGAGGAAAATGGCAGGGTCCTTCTCACTGGGAGCAAGGAGATGACAGTGCCTCAGGGATGATTCTGGTGGGACACAGTGCGGGACAGATGTTGGTGGTCACCACATCTCTATGGCCGTGGGCATTAAGATGGCAGGGCCTGGGGTGAGGTGAGGGGCCAGCACCCCTGAGCCATGCTGGGGCCCCGGGCAAGAGGGACAATCAGTAATGCCCATCCTGCCAAAAATTTATTGCAGAGTTTAATTGTTGGCTCATCATGGGTTTTTTGGCTTTAATTTTATGCTTTTAAAGTTATTGCTGTAGAATATTGTCTTGATGACTGAGTTTCTGGAGCCCCTGCCCACATGCTGTCCCCGAGGCAGGTGTCTCATGCCTTGTCCTGGCCCCGGCTCTGGTCTTTACCAATAGAACGAGGCTGATGGAGACCACGGACCAACGTCAGCGCCAGGCCGAGGGCTCTACGGACAAAGGGATGATGGCTGAGGACCAGGGATGGTGGGATGATGGCCAAGGACCTGAGATGAAGGGATGACGGGATGATGGGGGAGGTGGGAACCCGGGCCAGGAAGAGAGGTGGGACCTTCAAGGTGGATCATCCCCTGTCCAGGCCCCAGGTAATGACTGGCCTTGTGGGTGACAGAGAGCCACCCTCACCTCCAAGAGAGCCTGCGTCTTTGCCCAGACTGCATGGGTTTTCCCAGCTGTAGCTGGGTTTGTGGGATGGGGGGTGTCAGTTGGGACTCCGCCTGGGCTGTGGCCCTGCCCTGGGACAGAGGCAGGGAATGCCTGAGTCTGGGGCCCTTGTTCATTGCCTTTCTAGTCCTCATCCTGCATGAACACAGCTGGGCTTGTGAGTTCATCTTCCCCTCAGCCTCTCCACTCGGTCTAGCCAGAGAAGCCAACACACGCAGTTAGACCCTGTGGGAATGCCCGTTTAAAACTCAGACAGAAGCCGTTATCCCAGCACGCTGGAAGGCTGAGGTGGGAGGATGCTTGAGGCCCGGAGTTCAACACCAGCCTGGGAAACATAGCGAGACCCCGTCTCTCCAAAAAATTAAAAAATTAGCTGGGAGTGGCGGCATGTGCCTATAGTCTCAACTACTTGGGAGGCTGAAGCAGGAGGATCGCTTGAGCCCAAGAGGTCGAGGCTGCAGTGAGCTACAGTCGCACCACTGCACTCCAGCCTGGGGGACAGAGTGGAGACAAAAGGGACCTGATAGCAGTTGTCACAGAATGGGGGCACCTTAGTCTTTCTGAGCAGTCAGGGGAGGCGCTTGTGAAAGGTGGGCCCTTGTCCACCTGAGGGACAAGGTGGGCTTTGGCCTTCGAGTCTACGGAGGGTCCTGGAGCATCAGGAAGAGCACTGGGAATCTTCGTGGAACCACACGTGGTGGGGAGTGGGTAGCGGGCCGGAGGGACACTCCACCCATGGTCCTGCTGTGTGGCTTGTGGGACTGTGGAACCTGAGGCCGTCTTGCCTTCCCTGGGCCGGAGAAGGATGGAGGTGGTGCCTTCTGCCTCTCAGGCTGGGGCAGCTGGGGGCAGCTGCAGGGGAAGGAGAGGGAAGGGGACGAGAGGAGGGGGAGGCAGAGGAGGGCTCTCACCCCACCTGCTCTCAGGCTCCCACCAACCCGCCCCTCTCCTTCCAGATCCTGGGCGCCGTGATCTTGGGCTTCGGGGTGTGGATCCTGGCCGACAGAAGCAGCTTCATCTCTGTCCTGCGTAAGGCCCCCTCTGCTCCCTGGGCCCCGCCTGCTCTTGGGCGGGGGGCTGTGGGCAGTGCCGCTCCCGCAAGTAGAGTCACTTCTCCAGCCGACCTCAGGGCTGAGGCTAGGGCTGGGCCAGCTGCCAGCCGCGGCACCAACACCATCGTCCCTTGGCAGGGGATTCCAGAAGGAATTTTCTCTTCTTTCCCCAACAAAGCGCTGTTGTCTGAGAGCACTGGGGATGGGGAGGCCAGCTTTCCCTCCCGGCCCTGACCTTGGGAAAACCTCTTACGCTCTCCATCCGTCCACTTGCCTGGTCAGCGGGATGTGGGCAGTGGCCCTGCCCTCTCATCTCAGAAGGCTGCAGAAGGCAGAGACGGCGGGGCTGATGGGGTGCCCGCTACACCCAGGCGGAGCCCGTGGGCCGGGTGAAGTGACCCTCCTCACGTGCCGTGTGTACCGAGCATTTTTTTTTTTTTGAGTTAGGGTCTCACTCCGTTGCCCAGGCTGGAGTGCAGTGGCACGATCGTGGATCACCACAGCCTTGACTTCCTGGGCTAAGGTGATCCTTCTGCCTCAGCCTTCTCCTGAGTGGCTAGGACTATAGCCACACACCACCACGCTCGGCCAGTTTTTGTAGAGACGAGGTCTTGCTCTGTTGCCCAGGCTGGTCTTAACTCCTGGGCTCAAGCAATCCTCTCACCTCAGCTTCCCAAAGTGCTGGGATTGCAGATGTGAGCCACCATGCCCGGCCTCATGTGCCAAGCATTTTATGTGCATGAACCGTCTTGGTTCTACATCTGTCCTGTGAGGCAGATGCTATTCTCTTCCTGCCTTACCCATGAAGAAACAGAGGCCCAGAGAAGTTAAATCACCTGCTGAAGTTCCCACAGCTTCCAAATAGTAGACGTGAGGCCAAGAGCTTTGGTCCTAAATGCAGTCGGGTGGCAGGGTGAGCCCTAGCGTGGAAGTCCCTTCTCTTGCTCTTTAGAGGCAGAAGGAAGAGAGCCCAGGGCATAAGAGCCGACAGGAATAAGAGCCCTTCTGGTCTACTCAGCCTCTTCCAGGAAACCTTCGGGGCTTGCTGCACTGACCCCTTGGGGGCTCCTGGTGGTGGGGGAGGCACCACAGAGGCCCCAGGAGCACGGCTGTGCCATGCCCCTCATGGAGTACGCCTTGGCCTGGTTTCCTCCCGCAGCTGCCCAGGGCAGCTGGTTTGGACTCTGGCCTGTGGCAGCTGCTTGATTTGAGCAAAATGGAACCTGCTGGGCTGTGGTGATGGAGGGACCATGTCTGTCCCCCTGGCCTCAGGGGACTACGGCCCGCAAGGATGTGCACTCACCCTCTAGCCATACCCAAGGCACCTGGGGCTACCAGTTCCCCCCTGCCCATCCTGGTTCTGGGGTCAGCAGCATAGGACCCATGCTCCCCACACGTTCCCTCCTCTGCCCGGATCAGGTCCAGCCTCCTACTTCCTGGGTCAGGCCCACACCCAGCCGACGCTGAACCCCAGGGCAAAGGCTGGCAGCCCAGCCCGCCCACCCACATTTCTGTCCTCTGTGCCCTGCTCTTGGGGGCGGGGAGGGCCAAGGGACCTCCTGCTGCAACCGTCCAACCGACCTACTGGAATCTGAGACTCTCCGGCTGACCAGACCTCAAAGGCCTGCTAGATGCTCCAGGGGTGCTTTTTACGAACACCCGCCTGAGCCCCACCCACCCTGGCATCTGACTGCCTCGGTGTGGGTGGGGCCTGAGTGCTGGGGCTGCTTAAATAGCTCCCCAGGTGGTTGCCCGGGCAGCCAGGGTTCGGAAACCCCGATCTACCAGCCCAGCCACTGCACTTGGGTAAACTGAGGCCCGGGGTGGGGTGACTGGCTAAAAGTCACACAGCAAGTGAGGGTCTGAACTGGAAGACAGGGCCCTGGCCTACTACGTGCTGGGCCTGCGAGACACAGCAGTCTCCTAGCAGCTGGCAGCAGAGCTGGGCCCCAAGCCCGCTTCTTTTGGTCTCTGTTAGGGCCGCTTCCTTCCTGCCTTCTTGGTCCCTGCCCGGCCCAGGAGGACTGAGGGCTCTCCTGCCCTGCTTGGTGCAGGGGCTGCCCGGATACGCCCTGTCCTCTGTCAACTGGTCCAGCTGTGGGGCAGGCCTGCGACCCCTGGTGTGGATGGGCCTCATATCAGATGGACAGTTCTGAGACCCGGGGCCCCCGCAGCTCGGCTGGCCTCCCATGGGAAGGACCGGAATGGGGGCCTTGGCCTGGGGCCCTGCCTGCTGGGCACCTTGCAGCCTCTCGACTCCTGGGCCTCAGAGTTCTCGCAGACCAATCAGGATGCGGGTGTCGCCTCGGAGGGCCGTTCTGAAAGAAGCAGGGTGGTTTGGATAAAGGGCCTTGTTCGAGGCTGGCACACAGTGGCCTTCCGGGCAACGCCAGCTTCGTTTTTCTGGGAGTAGTCATAGAGGGGATTGTTAGAAGCCCAACCCAGGAAGCTTAGGACACATGGAGCTGGTGCCTTCTCCTTGCCCACGCTGAGTGCTGAGAGCCAGGCGAGAGGGCCCGGGTGAGGGGCTGGGCTCGGGCCAGAGGTCCCACGCACACCCCGGGGCTCCACCCAGCTTTCTGGGGCGATGGGTTGCCAGGGCTCTTCCTGGGCTCCAGAACATTCTGTCTGGGACCAGGAAGTAGAGCTGGATTCCTCGGCCTCCCCCGCCCTTGTGGTCATTCCTCGGGGGTGCTAATGCCCCTCGGTGGTCAAGGTGGGGACCTCAGCCTCTCCAAGGTCCCCCGGGAGTCATGGCCAGCCAGGCTGTTCTCCCTGCTGGTGGTCAGTGGTCAGCCCTGGCTGTGCCTCAGTCCTTAAAGGGCGCATTAAAAATGCAGATTCTCGGCCGGGCTCGGGGGCTCAACCTGTCATCCCAGCACTCTGGGAGGCTCAGACGAGTGGATGGCCTGAGCCCGTGGGTTCAAGACCAGCCCAGGCAACTTGGTGAGAACTCATCTCTACAATAAATCAAAAAATTAGCCGGGCATGGTAGTGTACACCTGTTGTTCTGGCTACTTGGAAGGCTGAGGTGGAAGGATCACCGGTCGATGCTGGGGTTGATGCTGGGGTGGCCATGAGCGTGCCACTGCACTCTAGCCTCGGTGACGGGGTGAGACTCCGACTCAAAAAAAAAAAAAAAAAAAAAGGCAGATTCTCAGCCTTCTGCTGAGAGAGTCTTTGTCTGATTATGAGGGATGCCGGAACTCATATCCATCCCACGTTCAAGTTCTTGGGGTGCAGAAACTAAGCACAAAAAAGCAGTAAAATGTAGTCTCCTCAATCCTGATAAGTGCTCAGAAGAACCAGCAAAGCAGGGATGGGGTGAGGCTGGAGCAGGGTGGGGGTGCAGCTTTACCCTAAGGAAGGGGACACATCTGGCCAAGGCAGCTTCAAGGGACAAGGGAGCTGGGCCCTTGTTGGGTGCCGAGAAGCCTGCTGAAACGTGGCCGACCCGGCACCCCGGCTCCAGAGAGGTGGGAGAGCTGCCCTGGGCCAGACGGCCAGGCATTTGCACCTTCTGGGCCCACTCATTTTCTGCCTCACAAGCGGACCTGTGTCTTCCTCCCCCAGAAACCTCCTTCGAGTCGCTCAAGATGGGCGCCTACGTCTTCATTGGTGTGGGGACAGTCACCATGCTCATGGGCTTCCTGGGCTGCATTGGTGCCGTCAACGAGGTCCGCTGCCTGCTGGGCCTGGTGAGTGCAGCCGGCGGCCTTGTCCCTCACAGGCTGGGGTCGAGCGGGCCAGGGTCCTGGCGGGGCCCGCAGCTGACCCTGCGTCTCCTCTGTGTCCCCAGTACTTTGTCTTCCTTCTCCTGATCCTCATCGCCCAGGTGACCGCTGGGGCGCTCTTCTACTTCAACGTGGGCAAGGTAAGTACCGCCCTCAAGCCGCCTCTCACTGGGCGGGGGCAGACGCATGGGGCATTGATCCCGGGTGTGGGGGAGGACACAAACCCCGCGGAGGCCAGGTATGGCGTCCTGGACCGCCCGTGTTGTGTGATCGAGTAGTGGAATGCTAGAGGACAAGGCGTAGGCAGCTTACAGCTGGGCCTGGATGTCGGCTCACCTACCGCTTTCTAGCCATGCTGCCTTGGGCAAGCTGCCTGCCTCTGTGTGCCTGTTGCCATCTGTAAATTGGGGACAGTCATAAAACTTAACTTTGGAATGGCTGCAAGTATCCTGCAAGATTCGTTTTAGTAAAACTCCCAGCACAGGGCGTAGCATTGTAAGTACTCAATAAAATAGCCGGGCTCGGTGGCTCAGCCTGCAATCCCGCGCCTTTGGGAGGCTGAGGTGAGTGGACTGCCTGAGCCCGTGGGTTCGAGATC